GGATGGGGGTGCCCCCCCCCCCCTCCCCTCCCGCAGCACTACTGACGGGGAAAAGAGGGAAACTGAGGCACGAACGGGGCGTGGGGGGGGAGGGCGGACACACGGGACCCCCCCCCCCGGAGCCGCGCCGGGAGAACCGGAGAGAGGCGATCAGCGGAGCTCCGAGCGCTGCCGCTCCCGGGGGTCTCCCCGCTCGGTGCCCAGGTGCGGAGGGGGGGGGGTCAGCAGGGGTGTCCCCCTCCCAATCCCGGGAACCCCATTCCCCGCCCCCCCTCCCCCCCCAGGCCTGTCCCGCCGGGCCGGCCCCGGAGCCGCCCCCGCGCGTCCCCCCCCGCCGGACCGGGCCGGGCCCTCCGCGGGCCCCCCCGGCCGCCGCCCCCCCGGGCCGGTACCTTCTTGCCGCCCTTGTTGTAGGCGAAGGCGGGGAGCCCCGAGCGCGGCGGCACCGAGAGCAGCATTTTCCCGAGCGCGAGGGGCCGGGACCGGGCGTGACGTCACACCGGGAGCCAGCCTGGAATCCGGGCGGGCCCCGCCACGCCGGGTCCTAGCGCCGATCCCCGCCCGGTGCTGCCGCGGCCTCCCCCGCTGTCACCGCTGCCCGTCCTCCTCCGGTGTTCCCCGTTACTCCTCCCGGTGTTCCCCGTTACTCCTCCCGGTGTTCCCCGTTACTCCTCCCGGTGTTCCCCGTTACTCCTCCCGGTGCCACCCCGTCACCCACCGGACGTGCCCCCATCACTCCCCCGGTGTCGCCCCCGGTGCCGCCCGTCACCCCTCGGACCCCCCCCATCATTCCCCCGGTCCTGCCCCGGTGACTCCCCCGGTGTTGCCCCGTCACACCCCGTGTCACCCCCCGGTGCTGCCCCTCGCCGCCCCCCGGTGTCACCCCCGGTAGCCCCACGGCACCGACGAACCCCCTGGGGGTCTCTGGATATTGCCCCCTCCCCCACAAATGAGTCCCCCGGTGAGACCCCCCCCCCCCCACACCACCCGGGACACGCGGG